TTTAAAACGCTACAAACACGCTCCTTTCCCACCCCTCTCACAGTTACAATTAAATTTACCTCCCAGAATCTGGGAGGCACGTGACCAGCCGCAGCCAGGGTCTCTCCCAGATGACAGGAGGAGAGACCCTGGGAACGAGGTTGCTGTAAGGGTCGCTAACGTGGCAAAAGAGGCAAGAGACGTGATAGCTGGCGCAGATTTGGCGAAATGTGAACTCGTTAGTTGTGTGACTGATCAAAATGTAGCTGAGAACCAGAGTACAGACTCGTCTGATAAATGTAGCAAGATACCGGAACACTTGAAAACTTTATATCGGAATAGTGTTAAAGACTTAACGACAGAATATCAGAAGACCAAAGTATACAACTTGCTATGTGATAACGCTGATTTATTTTCTAAGGGATCCAACGATATAGGGCGAACAGACTTAGTAAAGCATAAGATTAACACAGGCAATGCAAAACCAATCAAACAGGCTCCACGACGACTTCCTTTTGCGAAGCGAGAAGCCGCGGATCAAGCTGTTGCCGAGATGCAAGAACACGACGTCATAGAACCTTCTACAAGCCCGTGGTCGTCACCCGTAGTCCTAGTGCAAAAGAAAGATGGAAGTCTTCGTTTTTGTGTCGATTACCGGAAGTTAAATAACGTCACTCTTAAAGACTCTTATCCTTTACCCCGAATCGATGATACGTTGGATGCACTTGGTGGGTCCCAGTGGGTTTCAACCCTAGATCTAAAATCCGGGTACTGGCAAGTTGAATTGGACTGAAACGACAAAGAGAAAACAGCCTTCAGCGTGGGTGGTGGCTTGTGGCAATTTCGAGTTATGCCCTTCGGATTATGTAACGCTCCTGCGACTTTCGAACGGTTAATGGACCACGTCCTAGCTGGTTTACCATGGTCGGTCTGCTTGGTATATCTTGATGATATAATTGTACACGGCAGAACGTTTGAAACCGAATTGGAAAGTCTACAGCAGGTTTTCACGTGTATTCGAAACGCCAAACTGAAACTTTCGCCGGTCAAGTGTAGTTTGTTCTGCCGCAGAGTTAAGTATCTCGGACATGTTGTGAGCCATGAAGGCATTGCTGCCGATCCGACAAAGATACAGGTTATAAAGTCCTGGCCCCGGCCCCGGTGCCTTTCCGAGTTAAGAAGTTTCCTAGGCTTGTGTTCATATTACCGTAAATTTATCGCAGACTATGCCCATATTTCCCACCCATTGCAGCGCCTAACCGAGAAAAACGCACCGTTTCATTGGGATTCAGCAGCGGAAACGTCTTATCAAGCACTGAAACTTGCCCTGGTAACTCCACCAGTATTAGCATTTCCAACCGAAGACGGGATATTTGTACTAGACACTGATGTGAGTGGAAAAGCCATTGGTGCAGTTCTGTCACAGAACCAGGGAAATGGGGAAAAAGTTATTGCGTATTTCAGTCGTTCTTTGGACCGAAGTCAGCGCCAGTATTGTGTTACTAGAAGAGAGCTGTTAGCCGTTGTTTAAGCTTTGGAACACTTCCATCCATATCTATACGGACAAGAGTTTGCTCTTAGGACAGATCACTCATCACTTCGTTGGCTAGTAAGCTTCAAGTTTCCCGAAGGTCAACTGGCAAGATGGCTTCAGAAAATTCAGCAATATGATTTTCATGTTGAACATCGACCCGGTAAGGAACATTTAAATGCTGATGCACTATCTCGACGCCCATGCCTGCGGAATTCGTGCCGGAATTGTGACCGAATGGAGTCGAAAGAACAAGTTTCTAACGAAAAGGAGCGGTGTCCAACTCACGAGGAGACGTTAGAACAGATAAATGTCGTAAGAAGGTGTAGCGAAGGAACACCAGAAAATGATTTGGACTATGAAAATATCCTAGAAAGCGCCTCTTTACAAGATATTGCCGAAGCTCAGCGGAAAGACGCGGATATTGGTCCAGTTATTAAGTGGATGCGGGAAGATTCTCGTCCAGGTTGGTCAGTAGTATCCCCTAGAAGTAAGGTGACAAAGACATACTGGGCGCAGTGGGACAGTCTATGTCTTAAGAATAACGTACTTTATCGGAAGTGGGAATCTTCTGATGGGACAGATATAAGGCTTCAACTGGTCGTACCAAATTCTTTGAAGCAACCGATCTTGACCCAACTTCATAATCATGTTACAGCTGGTCACTTCGGCGTCACCAAGACAGTAGAGCGGATCAGACAGAAATTTTACTGGGTAAATTGTCGTTCTGATGTACAGTTGTGGTGTGGACGATGTTCGCTTTGTTCTTCGAGAAAGGGACCTACTCCACAACGAAAGGCACCCCTTGGAAAGTACCTTGTCGGCACTCCCATGGAGAGAATTGCCGTGGACGTAATGGGTCCACTTCCCCTATCTGAAGGAGGAAATCGATATATTCTAGTAGCAATGGTAATATTACTTCACGAAATGGGCTGAAGCATATCCCATACCAACTCAAGACGCTAAGACAGTTGCGAAGATCCTAGTAGCTGAATTTATCTGCAGATTTGGAGTACCATTGGAGCTCCATTCCGACCAGGGGACAAATTTTGAGTCGACTGTATTTCAAGAAATGTGTCGGTTGTTAGGGATAAAGAAGACGAGGACTACACCATTGCACCCGCAATCAGATGGAATGGTAGAGCGGTACAACCGTACTTTGAAAAGACAGTTGTCACTTTTTGTCGAAGAACATCAACGTGATTGGGATGTCCACATCCCTCTGCTCTTAATGGCATACCGAACAGCAGTTCATAATTCAACCAAATTTACTCCTGCTCGTTTAATGATGGGACACGAGATTCGCGCGCCGATTGATTTGACCTATGGTTCTCCTGAGGATGAAAGGGCTGAGAATCTACCACAATATGTGCAAGATCTTCAACAAAGCTTGGAAGAAGTACATGAGTTTGCTAGGAAACATTCGACAAGGAATTACTACGATATGGAAAAACGATACAATGCTAATTCAAATGCTTATACTTTGGAAGAAAAGATTCTAGTTTGGTTATATAACCCCCGCAAAAAGAAAGGTCGAACGCCTAAGTTAACAAGGCCTTGGGAAGGTCCGTTTGTCATAGTAAAAAAACTAAATGATCTGGTTTACCGAATCCAACGGAATAAGCAAAGCAAACCCAAGGTGGTACACCGGAACCGTTTATGGAAATTTCGAGGTGAACAAGAAGACTTGTGGAAATATGAGGATCAACCTTCTACCGGAACAGGTGGGGTGGAAAAAGAAGATGGAACAAGTGATGATCACGAAGAACTACCAACAACGAGTACTTCAAGTACAACGTTAAGGAGGAGCAGTCGGAATAGAAAACCCCGAAATGTACTTGATTTATAACGGTGCAACTTATTATTCTTATAAATAAATTATATAGTCGTCCATCTTTTGTATTGGAAAACCTGATATACGACTAGGTGGGGGTAATGTAATGAAAATAGATGAACTCATGCGTACGCGATCAGCCAATGAGAACAATGTTATTGTAAATAATGGTATAAATAAGGTTTTGTGTCTGAACTTGGGTGGAATTTTTAATATATATTTGTCTAACACAAACTGAAGTTGTTGTCTGATTTATTACACTAGCATGAATGTCCTGAGTTTGACACAATGCAAAATCCATAGAAAACAGGTACAATTCGGCCAAAATTTTCACGCAATTGGGCACGGAATTGTTTGAAACATTTTGCCCACTTCACGAAAGGCCCCGCCATTTTGAAAAGGATCAAGCAGCTCATCCCCGAGCCGACGGCGCGAAGCGCCGTGCGAGGGTACTAATTACCCCCGGCTATTTACACTCGGGGAAACGAAAGCATTAGCAGAGTCTAAAGTTCATCAAATATCGCAGGCGTGGGTCACTGTGCGTGGGTGGTCATCCTCACTGATCTCAAAAATATGGCGGACTGTCATGAATAGCGAACACTGTGATTGGCCCAATTTAAAGTTTGCATTATAACGACTGCATGACGACAGCGAAATAGCAAACATTTCTTGATTTCATGATTGACAAATTTCTTGCAAATATATTTCATTTTTGCTCGCATTTTCGCAAGCTTTTGTAAATTTCAAGAAAGAAAGGGCGAAAGAATCGGCTAAAAGAAGGAAGTTTGTTTTAAATATTGATTTTATAATTGCTTTAAAACCCGACGGCCTTTGCGTATATGAAACAACTAAACAAGACAGCGTACAATTTCATTGTATCTTTAATATTGATTCTCTTTTTTATTATATTGAATTTTTTAAATAAATAAAAAAGAAAGCAAGTTATTTGCATGCGAAAACTTGAAATCATAGTTTTATTGCAAACTCAAAGTTTATCGATAAAGCCATTTAATTAAAGGCAGTTTTTATATAGTTTTATAAAGAACACTTTAAAACGTTTTGCGAAGCGTTTTTGGTTGAATTTTACCTTAAATTGAAGCTTATTCTACGTATAATATCATACCTATCATATATATGTTGGGAAATTGATAATTTTGTAATTAAAAGTGATATTTTTAGGCGATTTTTCATTTGTATCATTTGTAAAAATATTCTTAAAAAATTATCGTGTTACCATAACAACTACTTTAGATACTTCATGTTTCGAAAATATAATGGTTTTGCCAGCAAGGCGAGGGTTTCTGCATGCATGTATTTTCTAGTTAATATTCTATTTTGTGGCTATAGACGATCGGAGATTGGAGAACCATGCCGAAACCTATACTCGTCTGTGGCACAGAGTGCCCCAGCGAGTAATAATCTCACATGTGTGATTATCACTTTTATCAGTGCTCGAAATCTCTATAAAGCACTATACTTTATATAATAAATAAAAGCAAAGGAAACTAAATGTTGTGGCCATATTTTGATACTTGTTGAAATAAATTTGGTATAAATCGTCACAGAAAAACGGAACATTTTACAGAGAATAGTACAATTCGCATTATAGACTAATTTC